AACAGAGACCGCAATAGGCAGAGCTGAATGAATTTTAACGTTTTTTAAGGCTTTGCGCCTGATGGTAAGCTACACGCCTGTCCATAACAGTTACAGTGCCACTCAGAGTTTTAAATTGCAAAGACCTAAGGGGCACTGCCACTGCGCCAGTCAGCCTGAGACGTAAGTCGACAAGACACATGTGCCTGTAATATCACCAGCAACTTTCAAAACCGGAACACAGTAATGCTGACCTAATGAGGCCCTGTAGTCTCGTTCTCCGTTCGAAACAATTACAGTCAAGTAAGTAATACTTAATCAGTTTAAAAGATGCATGATGCGAATGAAGCTTCATACTTGATATTGTTTCTTGATTTGGTCGAGTATTACTTATTTGACGTTTATTGTTTCGGACGAATGTCGAACGGAGATCATTCTCCGTTCTTGAGTAGACTACCGGAGAATTCTTAATATGTCACGGAGAATGATCTCCGTTCGACATTCGTCCTAAACTCTCATGAGTAGACTCCCGGAGAATTCTCGCGCAGTCTTGACAATACCCGCAGCTATCGTAACGAATCTAGTTAGATTGACATAAAGTTTATTATGCTATGTCCAATTTCGTTGAATGAATGAATGAATGAAATATTATTTATTGCACATAAAATTACAATTAAAATACAATAGCCTAAGTATAATAGTAGTAGTAAGTTAATGTGCAACAGGCGGCCTTATTGCTATGTAGCAATTTCTTCCAGGCAACCTTAGGATAGACATTTCGGATATGCAAAAGTTCGTTGGCAGTTCCGTGTCATTGTAAACTGTGCCTTATGTGCGTTTTAAGAGTCGATACTACCTCATCTCGAATTCAAATTTTTCCCAAATGAATACTTGGGTAGAGCGGGCGGCAGGGACACTGGTTTTATTTCAGAATTTATTTTTTTTTACAAACGAAATTAAAGCCATTTGAAATATATATATATATATATATATATATATATATATATATATATTTCCAACGGACGTCACGAAATTTTCTATGTGCTTGCGTCATGTCTTTGTATTTGGATTTTCCACGACTTTGTAGTTGTAGAGATGTCGCTATTCACTGTATTTTAAACTTTATTTTTATTTATATTATTTTATTTATATTTCATTGATTTCTCATAGTTGGCGCTACGACTAAAAAGTCGTTGAAAAACCAAATACACGGCCACGACGCAAGCACATAGAAAATTTCGTGACGTCTGTTGGTTCGTTCCGTGGCTTAGTTGGTATAGCGTCTGCCACGGTATGCAAGAAGAAGTCGGTTCGAATCCGACTGAATCGAAGGAATTTTTTCTGAGTGTTCGATCTTTGTATTAATAATTATAACAAACTAGTGGAGTAATTTAAAAAAAAAATTGAATATCAATTCAATAAAAATTTAAAATATATATCGTGTTCTATTTTATTCAGTTGATATAAAAAAATATCATTAGTATATGTACATATTAAATACAGCGGTTTTTTTTTGTAATATTTCGAGGTCAGTTTGCGTTTTTATTCTATCGTGAACATTTTTAGGAACCGTGTTTTCACACCATAGTAGTCAGTTTATATGCTCAGTTTTACTATAATTTTTTTCCGAAGTGATTGATTCAACACTGTCACCGTTATCAATCAACCAAACAACCAAGCAACCAAAACCATTTGAGGTTGTATAGACTCTTAAATATCGCCTGTATGATGTGTCTCTAACAACTACAATAAAGGGCGATGTCCAAAACACATTAACTTTGAAAGTATGTCTATGTAGCATTGAAACAATTTTTTAGACTCATTCATCAATTGAGAGAAATGACTCGCAGACTTTCGTTGAATATACTTATATATTTATCTTGCACATATAGCTATTTATTACAGGATTATCTTAATACAATAGTGTAGCATTTCTATTTACTTACTAGTAATGATCCTGACTATGAATAATTAATAAATGGTTATTTTATTCAATGATTATAACAAAGATACTATATAAGAAATAATTAATACGAAGAGAACCGAGCTTTACTTGCATTGAAAGTTCGTCAAATACAAAAGGTTGTTGGGTTAGGCGCCGCGCAAACTTGTGTCTTGTGTTGGATATAGCAAAAAGGCAGTAAAGAAGTTTATATTAAAATAATAATAATAAATATTGTAAGTAAATAAAAGTTGTACAATTTGAATAATCATGATTAGATAAAAATATAACAGCTTAAGGTGAACAAGTTACTCCACTAATTCGTCGTTTATAACGTTTAGTATGCGTAAAGATGTCAATGGTACTGAAAAACTCTTATGAGACACGAAACGACGTCATTCTGGCCTAGCCCGTACGGCTTGATAACGTAAAAAACATTATGAAATGGCTTACGACGGCGATCATACATCAGAAACATAGAGCGAAATACAATACAGTAATTCCGGTATGTTTTTTTGAAAATAGTCACATTGCGTGTGTCAATTTCCCAATTCGATTACGTCATCGTGACCAAATCTTCAAATTAGGTACCCATTGTTTGTGACTTTCCGCTCTCTTTCATACGCATAGTGCACAAAATAACTGACAAAAGCAAGTAACGTCGTCAAATGTGTAGTTAACCCATTAACCCAACAACCTATTGTATTGACGAACTTTCAAAGCAAATAAAGCTTGGCTTTCTTTGTATATTCAACGAAGGTCTGCTAGCGATTTCTCTCAATTGACTCTGAAAGATGGGTTCAATGTTACAAAGGTATTATTTTAGAACCGGTATGTCCATATATAACTAGACTTAAAGTAAATTTGTTTAAGGTCGTATTTACGACATTAAACAATATCACAAAGTTGACGACAAAGTTTGTCTGGGAATTCTATCCAGTTTTGTAAATCGAATGAGAAATAATCTCAGTACCGAGTACTAAAAAAACCGACCTCAAAAGTTCGTGGAATTACATTTATTTACCAAGTTTTATTGAAATAGATTATCGGAAAGTGCGCTAACTCGGATTCGGTCTAGGATCATGTACGGGACTTAACACAGGAAATAATAAAAATCGGTTCTCATTGCTCAAAGTACATAAATTGAGAGAAAAACGCCTTGAATTGGAGAATAGCAAAATCAACCATTAAAATAATTGCTCCTTATAATAAAATTTAGGCGCTATTTATAAAAATGAGTCTTCATGCGTGAACAGCCATCCTTAAAGGTGGATGATTTTCTTCAAAATGAAATGGGATCACTATAGAGGTACCCTTTTTCCAACAAAAACAGAATCATCAAAATCGGCGCACAATTGCCGTCGGCGTACAAATGAGTTATCGCGTAACATACATACAAAAAAAACCATACAGTCGAATTGAGAACCTTTTCCTCTTTTTGTAGTCAGTTAAAAAATTAGATCTTAGAGACACATCACATAGATGATATTTAGACATGGAACATGTAAACAGTTACTCAACATATTAAACAACAAAACAACGGCGTTGATTAAACATTACGACTATTTCGCGGTGTTTTAGAAAATTCGTTTTAATTGATCTGCGTCTTGGTGTCCTTGGTTTCCGCAGAAGAAAATAGTATAATGTTATTCTATTTTTTTACACTGCCAATGCGTCACAGTCCATAATCACTGCTTAGTATAGGACCCTTCTTATGCACGTTCGTCACCTCTGTCCTTTGTCAATAGTATCGCAACTTATTAATGCACTCACATTGACTTACAAATAAGTCAATGTGCACTCACCATGGTCATGAAAAAGATTTAACTTTTTTTTACCTTATTTCTAATATTAAGAATTAATGTGGATTCGTCAGAAAATAAAATATTATAACCTATTTTTTCTTATATCAAGCGGCAGGACGAACTATCATCGTGCGCCTGATGGTAAGCCTATTCATGACACTAGGAGTGACACTCAGAGTTTTAATCGTAAAGATCTGAAGGGCACTGCCACTGCGCCCGTCACCCTGAGGATCCCATGTGCCTGTAATTCCACTAGCAGCTTTACCTTCAAATTCAGAACACAGTAATGTTCACATTATTGCTTGGCGGCATAAATAAGTAAGGTGGGCAGACCATGCTTCAAAACCTCCGTCGTTATTTAAATCAGCCTCTTTGTATATTACTACAGGGAATTACCCACATTGAGTTTGTAGTAAATGTGCTGTCTGGCACAATAAAAGAATCCATAACATTTAATAGTCCCTGTAGGTGTCAGCATAGTGTAAAATGACCTCATGACCGCGTACGTTGGCCAATATAAGAGACGTGACTTGCGTTTATATTATTTACTTCGCATACTTTGTTCACATTAAACTTTGAGATATGAAAGTGTGATTTAAGTTTAAGTGCGAAGTAAGAAAAGTCAATTTTTACAACGTGCCGTTTATAAGCACCATACATATACACCTGTGTGTGTGGCTTTAGGTAATTAACTGCATTTACGCAGGTTGATTTCTTCGAAGCTAGCTTTGGTGGTAGTGGAATTAGAACGGACGCACACTACGAAGTTTTATGTTGTCGTATCAATTTCGTGTACGAGGTCGTACTTAATCATAAGAATGGAAAATATCCCAAATATCCCGACTGTTTGGTCGCTCGTAGCATAGTCCTGAATTGATCTCTACTTAATGCCAAAATGTTGGAAATATTTAAGTTGCTACGTTGTGCAATTTAACTTTACTATTAATATTTTAATTCAGTCTTGTGGCAACACTTCCTTCTCTTTGGTCCCAACGGGTAAAACTTGTAACAATTCAGATATGTTGTTACAAAAAAATTGGTAGCACAAAAATGTGGTGGACAAATTTGAATGAATGTTTAGGCGAAAATGTCAGTGGTACTAAAATACTTGTTGTACGTAGTTGTTACGTGTTAAACGACCTCGTTGTGGCCGTAGTTCTACGACTAGGTGGAACGTAGAAAACTTTACAAAGTAGATTATGATGGGGCACAACGAGACGAAACAAGGGAAAGTTCACAAACTAACCAACCACATTATGTTCTCACTTTTCCAGAATGGGACTGCGTAATTGAGCCGCTACCACTAACGGGAGTCCTCGGCAGCGCCCGCCGTGAATGGGCGGCTCGGCATGTGTTAGCAGCTGGAGCTCTGCTCGGAAAGAGCTGCTCTGGCACTTTGAAGTTAGCTGGGCATGATCAACAGCTTCAGAGTCAGGTTAGTTGACTGTAGACTTCAAAACAGGCACTTTGTCCGAATAAGATTCGGACAAAGGCACAGTTTTTCATTTGAAGTATATGGGTAATCGGGTACCATGAAGTTGACCATGATTAACAACTGTAAATTGTTTATTACGATCATATGGTTTTTGTTGATGTACTCTCGGCTGAGGGCCAGCGCCGTCGTCACGGCGGAAGAGTGCAAAATGCGTTGCGTAGACCCTGCGAAAGTGGCAGTGACGGAACCCCGTGGGATTTTATGGGGAGTCCGACATAATCTCTCTGTTGCCCTCTTATTTCCCCACTTATATATAAAAAAATTGTACCTACTTTAGGGGCAATGGACAGAACTTACAACTCATGTGTGAACAAATCCGGCGAACGAAAGAGTGTGCGATGGAATTGCATAAATAAAATCCGCCCTCCTCTTTCTATCACGTGCGAACGATTAACATCTGAATCAATTCGATAAACAGAAAATTTAAAATTTATTAAAATAAGCCTTATCAATGATATGAAATACTATTACGGGTAAGATTTTTGGTGTGGCTATCATTTTTGGACTCCATAACAGCACAATAAGGCATGTTTCTGCGTTTTTAAGAACGACACAAGCATACCATACAAAGCGAAAATGGCGGACTTAGCTCAGATAGGTCTTTCGAGACCTATAGTTGGCACGCGTCAGACGCTAACTAACCACTTCTACTGTATTTATGTTTGTTTATTACTATCGGACGCTGAATACATTTTCACTATGAAATGAACCGAAGAATTTTTTTTACGCTTGATTGAATATAAAAGGTTTGAGGTGAGGTGTCATTAAAAGAGCACCTAAGTGTACGCGTGCTACGTGCGTGCAACGCGCTTGCATCGCACATACAGCGCTTTCGCCAGATCTGTACATACCCTAAGACAACTCTTGAGTGGAAAACCTATTCGAAAATGAAAGAGCTAGGGGAGAAAAAGCGGAACGGCTTCTTATACTAGACACGGCATTGAACTGGTGACGGTGGTAAACTGCCGTTGGTTGTTCAGGAACGAAACGTGCTTATGTTCTATTGGGGAAGCTCAGGTCGACAATACTCGTTTTATAGCTGATGCTGAAGATAATATTGATGTATATCAAAACAACACGCATTCGACCTCAGAAACAGCTGATATTCATATCTAAATGATACTTGAAATCGTCATCATAATTAAACTCTACAGCTCATTCGTAAGGCAGTTCCTTGAGAAGAATGAGCAAGCAACTCTAGGCGTTGCTCTTTTGAATAAATTAACATTTACAATATTTATTTCAAACATCGAAAATTGAGACTACCTGCAAGAGCTAAATGAGTCACTGTATCGAGTCTATAATCAGAAATAGAGACGAAATGTCGTTTAATTTCTTTGTAAACTAATCTGCCATATCATTACTGTGACATCTGCGCTCCGATTGGCCAGGCCGAATTCGAAACAATTGACGGGTGTCGTCAATGGGTGTCGTCAATTGTTTCACTTCAAATCGACCAGTTAACTTGAGGTTTGCTATAATGGACGAATATTGCAAAATTACATATTTAATATTTAATTACAGATGAAATTTGATTTCGTTTGTTTTGTAATTAGATGTTTTGCTGTTTTTCCCCACATCACCGAATGGAACAGCACGCCATTGTTAGAGATATTATCTTTATTACATACAGAATAATTTTGGAATATACGGATACGTACGCACAGGTCAATTGTTGGCACTGTCTACATTTCAGTGCAAACGAGAGTTGATATTTATAAGTGATGTATCACTGATGAGTTACCAGGAAAGTATGGTATATACCATTATTTCGTCTCTATTTCTGGTTACATACTCGATGGGTCACTACCACGGATTCTTATCGTCCAAGTATGCAGAAACTGTGTAATAAACCTTTAGTATAAAGTTTTTGTTTCACTGTAGTTTTAAAATGTCGATTTTGAAAACGTATGTAAAATGTATTTTTAATTTCTATGCCGTATAGAAAAAACACTGCGAATTTCTAAATAGTTTGTTTAAAGCGAAGTAGTTCGCGGTTGCGTAGGTTTTGAAACGTGAGAGGTAGGGGCGGAGAAATGTATTTGCACCATATTTTAAATATTTGCATTTTAGAAATAAAATATACTTACTCTGTTACTGTAAAATATGTTCATTGTCCCCTGATTTTATTACGTAACACGGGAAATAAAGTTTTGTTGAAATATCTGTAATAATAATCGAGTTATACTGATTTTTCTGTAGATGGACGTAGAAAAAAAAGTTTGCCGAACTCTGTTAATTTTTTTTTAGAGCGAACTGTAGTCGTGTTTCGGGCTCCATAGTTCACTACCCGTATCCTCCGTTTTCAATAACAATTAAAAAAATAAGTTGAATTCGTATTTTTAACGTTCAAAAAGCCGACTTTTCCTGTGGTCAAAATAGCAGTAGCAGTAGAGAGATCGTCCAGGGAAGTACTGCCACCTTGCCTATTTCTGCCGCCAAGCAATAATGTGACCATTACTGCGTTCCGGTTTTGAAGGGTAAGAGTACTAGTGAAATTACAGGCACATGGAACTTGTCAACTTATGTCGCAGGGTGACAGGTGCAGTGGCAGTGTCCCTCAGATCTTTGCGATTTGATGCTTTGAGTGGCACTGCAACTGTTAGGAACAGGAGTATAGATTACCATTAGGCACAGGGCTTGCTCGTCCCATCGCTACATATTATGAAAAAAAAAAAGTAGTGAAGACATTTATTTTGGGTCTCACTTCACCTTAATGATTGAAATAAAGCCCTGTGTAATAATTACACGTGTAATCCCCAGGGTTATCTCTTCGGCTGCCATCTAGCTCTGGCATGGCAGGCCTTCCTGGATTTAGAAGCTTTCACGGGCCCCGAACCAACCAGCTTTTCCCTTGTTGGAGCTCCACTCGCCTTCACGCTCGAAGCGCGCCCTGAACTCTACTCCTACATTGAAGCTGGACGACGCAGCGTTCATGAAGTGGACTATCACGCTGTAAGTATGAATTATTTATGCATTGCCTTTATTACTGTTGTAATAAGCAATACAAAGCATGCAAAGCTTACAATGTATGTAATGTGTACTATTACAGTTTTTAATTAACCATTTCATCGAAAGACGTTGCAATTAAATTTTCCACGTTATCTCCTTTTCTGTTTTAGCATAATTTATGTATATTGATATGAGAGAAAAAGGAAATTTCGAATTCTTCATTTATTTGGAATTGTAACATGTCTTTTATTATGTACACGCGGTACTTCAAGATATTTGACTTCCAAACCGACCTTTTGGTTCTGAGAGCCGACTTACTCTATTAAAAGCTGTCTTGTACTAATGGAACAATCAGAAAGTCATACCAAAAAGAATTTTACGACTCACGGGTTAATAGATTAGGTTTGTTATAATTATTAATACAAAGATCGAACACTCAGAAAAAACACTCAGAAAAAATTCCTTCGATCTGGTCGGATTCGAACCGACGTCTTCTTGCATACCGTGCCAGACGTTATACCAACTAAGCCACGGAACGAACCAACGGACCTCACGAATTTTTCTATGTGCTTGCGTCATGTCTTTGTACTTGGTCTTTCAACGACTTTTTAGTCGTAGCGCCATCTATGAGATATCTATGACAGATTTATCACCCAGTTAGTACCTTTACAGCTACCAGTCCTGGCGATTAGGTTTGTTTAAAACTTTTCTCCACATTTGTGTTCAGAACCACAACGTCGCCAGGGGATCACGTATCTTGTACGTGTTGAGTCCCCCACAGTGGGTTAGTCCCACATAACCCCTGAGTGTGCTCAAGGGTATGCATAAAGCAATTGCAATAGGGGGCACGTATCTAAGGCCAGCGTGTGTACATTTTTTTTTCACTTCTCATGCTCTTAAAGTTCGTATTTATGCTGGGTGTAGGCTGCATAAAATAGGATTGTATGCTCTAGCGTATAAAATAGGAGTATTTATAAAGAAATATCTCCATTTAAAAATTATGTGCATGTTTAGATATTTTATTATTAAACAATCCGTTTTAGACTTGTATTTTAGCCTGTTATCTGTATTTCATATGATCGAATAAAGTACATCCTATCGTGTACCAAATTGGTACATTCTTTAGACAACATCCTTAGGTGTATCGTATATTTTTTGCAAGACCGTTGTTTAATAGTAAATACCTAAATCATTTGATGTAACAAAACAGTTTATCCCGCTTCTCCTCCGGAGACTCGCCTTAATAATTTTTAGCATAGCATGATCGCTACTACTTAACTTCCTAAAAAAGCAAAGCGACGTTCGCTTTCGGACATGAAACCAGACAACTTTGATGGTCTCATGCTTTCAAAAGATCGTCGGCTTAATAAATAAAGACCTAGTATACAATCTTTTTTAAATCACTATTATATAATTATTAATATACAAAGATCGAATACTCAGAAAAAATTCCTTCGATCCGGCCGGATTCGAAACGACATCTTCTAGCATACCGTGTCAGACGCTATACCAATTAAGCCACGAAACGAACCAGCGGACCTCACGAATTTTTTCTATGTGCTTGCGTTTCTTTGTATTTGGTTTTTCAACGACTTTTTAGCTGTAGCGCCATCTATGAGAAATCTATGATATTTCGTTGTCAACTTAGATACCTTTACAGCTACCAGCCCCGGCTAGAGATGTCGCTATTCATTGTATTTACTTTTTATAATTGAGAATATATTAATAATAGAATATTATTATATAATTTACACTACTATATAACTTTCAGCTTTATAAGGCAGTCCTTGAAGGCGACGGCATCGAACAAACCAAGCAACTACAGCGGGAACACATTGCCGCCGCCTGCGAAGTGCTAGAGTCCTTCCCCAACTGCGACGCAAGAACAGCTCTGTTGAATATCATAGTGGCTATGCACCATTGATCGTTTCGTTTAGTTAAACTTTCAGTATCTCTACCATGACTTTGCAATAGACAGGTGTAAAATATTTATATAGTTCAATTATTTTCTTTATGTCCCTCGGTAATCTTCGGATTTTCAAATGCTACCGAATACAAATTTCCAGGTCTAGTAATTATTAGAGCTATCAACTACAATACATTGAGTTCGATGGAACTAACTACTACCCTTAAACTATTGCCCTTTTTAGTAACATTTACTTGTTAAGAACTTACCAAACAAGTAAAATATCATATATTAATATATAATCAAATCAATCATTTTAAATTTTATAAATTCTTTTTTTATAAGTATAACTAAATTAACTTATTGCCAAGTTTTATTAAAATCTGTTAGGGGAAAGTGAATGAAAATCAGTAAAGCGGGTTCATTCCCTGATTTGCCGCCCTTAGAGGTGGAATATTTTCTTCAAATTTGAATAGGACCACTACCGATGCAGCCCCTTTCCAAAAAAAAAAGAATCATCGAAATTGGTTCACAAATTGCGTAACATACACACAAACAATAAATTCTTAGTGAGAACATCTTTTTTTGAAGTCGGTTAAAAATGAATGTATATGTAGGGTGAAAAAAAAATTTTTTTTTCTCCCTATATTTATTAACTTGACCTTCAAAAACATAACCAAAATAAAGAGTAGCTAATCTCTACACTTCCAAGTTCAGTGCGTCTGGTCTGCATCAAGTGCAAAGGGCAGTTAATAGAAATCCGACGACATGCTAAGCTCGAAGATTGCCGAGAGATAGAAAATGGTTGTAATGTACACAAAATGTTACTTCTTGTCACCGCTAGGGGCGCTGGACAATTTGCCATAGAAAAATATTAAGTATTTCGGCGTTACTGTAAACTCATGGTAGATGCACTTACGAGTAAGATGCTGAAGAACAGTTAGATAAAGTATTGGGTATGCTCTGTAATGATCACATACCAGTCTCTACTTAGGCAGCGTAAAAGGTTCCACTGGTTTACTTCAATACAGTGTTTCCAAGGCCTTGAGTCTGTTTGCGCCATGCCTGAGTTACTTTGTCAGATGATGCGTACGTAAACTATTAAGAATTTACAACAACATATATAATTGATCGGTCTCAAAAGTTAAATGTTAAAAGTTACTTACTCGAGCGAATCAAAAGTTACGAAAAATGTAAGAAATGTGACCATCTGGCAACACTGGTTCATTATTTTGTAAAATATATCAGTCGACCATTGTTAGACTTTCAATTCAATTCAATAACATCTTATAGCGAGTTTTAGGAAATACACAAAAATGGTTCAACGCCATCTAGCGGCTCCTTACAGAAGCCTTACCAATCTTTCGCGGCAAGCGGCATTTAATTATAGATCATCACATGATGTAGACTGATTTGTGTGTTCTCAAGGGAATCAGTGATCGCTTTCAGTTGCTTTTTTGGCCGCTAGTGGCGCTATATCTTACGTGGCCGAAGGCGACATTCGCATTGTATAGATACTGCAATACCATTGTTGGTACGGAGGGCCACACATTAGTGCAATTTTGTGATATGAACTTTATTTAATTTCTCTAAACTTAGTCTCTCTCTTTGGTTCTAACTGAAAACCAGCGCCTTAGGGGACTTAGGCATATGCTGAGTCAGCGCCCTTTTAGGCTGCAAACAAATAGACCATGACTGCATGATGTTGATACGGATTCACGCATTAACTGCATGCAGTCGATCTCGGCTGCATGAAGTCGGTTTTGACTGCATGAAGTCGGTTTTGACTGCATGCAGTTAATGCGTGAATTCGTTATCAACTTCATGCAGCCGAGATCGACTTCACGCATTAACGGCAAACATGCAGTCAATCTGTTACCAGACTTACTGCTATAGCAAAAACGTTTTTAATTTTCCTTTTAAATTGTATTCTGTGTGTCATATTGGTGAATAAAGTCTTTGTTTATCTTTCTATACTTATATCAGCGTGTGGCCTTACGTACGCGTATACGGTGCTTGGTTATCCTTGTAACGCCGAGACGTGTTTCAATGAATTTAGAATCTTGAAACGGAAAAAACCTATACATAAATAGTACGTGTAGCACGGCACCAATCGATGTAACTCGGCGTTACGGATGTAATTTGAACCTGGTTCGACTTAATATCGTTATCGATATGCTCCAATAAGCGTTTTGTAGTATTATAGATGTGTTAAGACAATTTTGTTAAAAAAATAATGAAATAATTGGAATAAAAATTAGGAGACGATTCTCGTGGAGAGAGAACACGTCACAGTAAAGAAATTTCGAAGAAATATGGGCTCTAGCTATGTCGCAATTGACATAAAAGTGCTTAACATTTAACGAGTGGTCGAAGGGAGTGTAGATAATACAGATATAGCACAACAAATTGGTCACATTCTCTACAGCTAAGTCTTTGCGAATTTTTCTTTCGTTAGTTTTAGATAGAAAGGCATACGCCAAGTCTTCAGTCCATTATATTTTATAGGCATTATTGAAATGACAAAACGGTACGTTATTTCTACGTCAGTTATTTCAATTAAAACTGACTTGTAAGCTCTAGATTTCAATGGGAAAATGGGTTTATATTTAAAAAAAAAATTAAACAGCCCAGAATCATTCACCATAGGCCAATGGCCAAAATCAAAACAATTTAAAAATAATACAAAAAGAAATATTATAAAACAGCACAGCAACAAACAAAAATAAAATAAAACAGTGTTGCCAATTATAATAGTGTTATGTTTGTCACATTATAACGTTAACATTTAATCGAAGTGTCTATTTCTTAAAATAATGTTTGTCTATGTATAAAAAATTCTCATTATATACAATTGTGACAGGGTTTTATGATTACAGAAAAACGAGACTTGTAATATTTTTATTAAAACTTTGGATATATATGATAACACCAACCGAGTGAATGATTGAACGAATGAAAAAAATGAAAAATTACAAAGACGGCACACAACTGTTTGTATAAGCTAATGTACAATCAAGAGGTCCAAACATCAGTTTAAAATTACGTGGTTCCATTTAACGCGTCCATTTTGTGATAAATATTTTATATTCAAAATAATTTCATTGTTGTTAATAATGTTGTTTACATTACTGTTCATGTTGTTTTCATAACTTCGACTACCATATAAACTGGACATCTCGATCAAGGACCACACAAGTTTGTTACGAAAATTTGTTGATATACGTACTCAAATTATTTTATCTAGGAAGAATATTTTTTAAATCGAACTAGTACACCATTTTTTATAGGGCTATTGCTCGTTTTATATTTAGCAAGTATAGAAATAAGAAATGGAAAATGTGTTTATAGGAAAGAAAGGTACATTTTTATAGAGATTAAATATTTGATAGTTACCGAGTGTACGTGTATACGTGTAAATAGAATAAATATTATTGATGCAACGGAAGTGTCCTAACGGAAACAGATGTTAAAAGTAATACTTAGCAGAAACGACAACGAAAGCGGACGCGGAAGGGGAAGCGGAAGCGTAAATACTATAAAGACCTTAACGAAATGTATAGTAATAATATATATATAGTTCCAAACAGGGCTTGTGGCTCATAACACAACTCAAATTGCTGAGATGCACGCGCCCCAATGTCATGTTATACGCGCACGCGCCTGATCCCTCACGAACGTTATAAACTTCCGATAAAAGTGCCGTTGTAAGTTGCGGTAGCAGATACGAAAACAGATGTGGAAAAGCGTGCAGAACTTCCGCAGTTGTAGAAGCAGAAGCAAAAGTCTGTTGCATCCCTAATAATTGTATATACGGTCGGAAGAGGCTAAGTATACCTCCATATTGACATTCTTCAGGACAATTGTTTTTTCTTAAACTTTTTTTCTTGTAAATAGCATAATGATGTAAATTACTTAATATTTAATTCTATTTTTTGTAATTTTGCACTTAATAAACACCAACCGTGTAAGAATACGTCGTATTTGATTTTTTAGTATTTGATTAAGATTCAAAATGCTAAATAATACTTTGCACCAAAAGTGCTCCTCCGGCCGCTGCTCTTTCAGTGTGACTTGGCCCTTACATTACAGGCGAATGCTCCTGGAGAGGGAGCGCCCTTACTATAATCATGGACCAATAACTCAACTCTCGAGTTATTGGTCCATGCTATAATATAGTATTATAATTAAATGAAATTATTTTTCCGGATTTAAATTGCGTATATTTGTTTTTTCAAACAAACCGACGTTTCGGGCCCTTTACAGGTCTCATGGTCACGGTTGACGATATTACCACATATCACATATATATCACAGTCGGTTTGTTTGAAAAAACAAATATACGCGATTTAAATCCGGAAAAATAGTTTCATTCCTATGTATAACAATCGCGAAAACCTAAGAACTCGTTAAATGAAATTACTTCAGACTGAGAATATTGTTGTCATAATTTTTTCTACCAGGGATATATGTGTGACAAAAAAAACTATTATTTTTGCTTTGTGGCACTGTTGAAGATGGTGTGCGACATCTTAAGACACTACTACACTACCTCAAAAGGCTTTGGTAGATTCCGCACCGCATAACAGTGAAAGGGTTGAATCCAATTCCACCGTGACCATGGTCGAGTTTTGGAAATTTGACTAGCCAGAAAAAAGTCGCTATTTAGGCGGTTGTTGTCGCAATAAACTAGATTTAGTCGGTCTGCCGTTCAAAAGTTATAAGGGTGTTTTACTGTCCAAGCTGGAATAAGCTTATTTCAGCGGCACTATTTCTCAATCTCGAGAACTACACTACCTAGCTTAGATCTGACTACACTAAAAAAGTCGTGATTTAGTCGGTTCTAGTCGTTATGTCCTTTTGAAGTTATAGAGGTGTTTTACTGTCCACGCTGAAAGAAGCTTATTCCGGCGGCACCATTTTTGAATTTCGAGAACCACAGCTCTTAGCTTAGATCTGAATGCACTCAGGAACAGTCGTGAATTAGTCGGTTCTAGTCGCGAAATTTTAGATCCGACTAAATAGTGACTTTTTTCTGGCTAGTCAAATTTCAAAAACTCGACCATGATCACGCTGGAATAAGCCTCGCGTAAAATTGAGGATTTACTCTGATTACTATACAGTGTGAAAACACGATTCTTAAAAATCTTTACGATAGAAAAAAAACACAAAGTTAGCTTTGATTTCGTTTGTAAAAAAATAATTACTAAATAAAGACAGTGCCCCAAGCAAAATGAACCGTATTAGTACGGAAAAAAATTGAATTCAAGCTGAAGTAGTATAGACTCTTAAGCTGCGTTAATGAATCTTTTAAACTTAGGATTGTTATAACTAGTGGGTGTCAGAAAAAGAAAACAACGTTGAAATCTTTTTTAAATTATTGTATTAATAAATAATGGTAGTCTATTTACATGACACATTCGATTACTCTCTTGTTTTGGCAGAAGAAAAATATCGTCAAACTCGCCGACTTAAACGCGGCGAGAAAAAGCGGGCCCTCGCAAAAAAATGTACCCTTGTCTTTCATACTAATGACGAAACCAAAATCCCAGAAAGGACAATCAATCAAGGGACGAACAATTTTCCAATAAAATCTTTGCAAGGGCCTCGCGTTAACCTAAAAACGATTGACATCGGTAATTCAACCCATTATAAAACGTACACATAGGACAACACAATGAAAAATTTCATTTTTGGTTACACTTTGACAATACTGGTCGTTTTTGGTTTCAAATATTGTGATGGCGGCGTTGAATTGATTGGTACAAATTTTCAAAAATATAAATATGGAAAACAGTAATATAAATACAAATTTTGGAAGAAACTTGTGGAGTTATTAAATTCATTCAATAGTCTAAAACAGTATCCCAAAAAATGGGTATTAAAAAAAATGTAAATTCAAAGCCGCCTTTTCGAAAAAACAATTTCAAACACACTGAAGAAAAACATACATATTACAAGCAAGTCAAGCACTCGTGAGTTAATGGATATATCACAGGTTTCTAGTGTCACCTAAATGATACATTATCTTTTTTTATTTTAATTATTATTTTTCTTATAAAAGACAAATACAGGTTTAACATTCATCTACAAATTACTTTTTTACAATTTCTCAAAAATCTTGCCTGGTACAAAGAGTATTTGCTTGGGTAGCATGACATCTGCAACTTAAAGAACGTGAGTGAATAAATGAGTAGTTTATTATGAAAAATATATATAAATTTATCGAAGAATTATTAAAACGAACGCATTATTTTTATTAACATTTTATAGGGATTTAACGTCATCGTTACAAATACTTTAGATTATTTTTTACATATAAAACAGAATTAGCATTCTCGTGATTGTTCAGGTAAAAGGGTAAACGGAAGCCAGTAGGTCGATTGGTAAAAAAATAATTAAAGTATAAAAGTATCTTTGATCCGTTGGATACATTGTAATTATAACTCTCATGTTTGTTATTCTATAGATATTTACTTAGACGCAACTTTTGCCTCGTCGCTGTTATGCTACCCAAGCTGACTATTGGTGCAACTAGATGCAGGTTTCTGCTAGTCTGTATTAATTTTCGATTTCAAAGTTTGTATTTGCGATTACTTTGATATGTCTTGTCGTACGAATGCATTAAGAACTTGGCAACTAGTAAAATGGCAAGAATCATGGGCAATGTGCCACTGCTTACAACACAAATAATATCAGAATACAATCTTAGGCAAATTTTGGTAGTTGAAACGTCAAATATCCATAAGACCGACAATATATCGCACCATTCGTTTAATTAAATACACTCCTAATGTACATAGACACCGCTGTCTATTATTGCTTAGTTTTTATAAGTTTTGCTCACAAAACTTTGTACCTATAATTTCACGTTCGTCCCAATAAATTTACCATTCAATAAATACGTACACGTAAAAAATATAAACTATATCAATAGTTTAATCTTTAAAACAAACTTTTTTTTTTCTTAAATCTAATTATATATTAATAACTATTCACTCAGTATGTTTTAATTCATTTTCAATAATATGCCTACTTTATAATCTTTCCAAGCGCCTGAATTGTTTACCGTTTCGCAAATATATTTAATCTTAACATTAATAATAATAATGTATCTTATTATTCATCCTTTTATTGTATGTAACTAAATTTTATCGTCGCTATAAGTTAGAAGTGTTCAAAATGTGCGCTTCGATCAAAGAAGTCCAAAACAAGATTTATTTCATATTTAGCCAAAAAAACAGGCACTCGATTCAAAAGTAAAGAAGGCGCTATGAAATATGCCCAAAACAACTGCAATAATTTAATGTCGAGTTGCAAAGCAAAATATATTAAATATTAACGTCTACCGTAACACTAAATTATTACAAAGAAAATGATTCGATAATGGTTCACGTAATACAATATAAATAAGTTAAATAGTCTAAAAAGTTAAAAATACACACGTCTTAACCTAATATAAAAGCACTCGTATCTTTGTGGTAAAAACGCGGGCGTGAGCCGCTTGTGATTTCATGGTTCCAAAACATACGCCAAGAACAAACGATCCGAAACGCCGGAATGGTAAATTAAATTAAAAAATACAAATAAAACAACTAATACACAGACAAAGGTACAAAAATATCAATAAACACGATTGCCAAATGCGTCCGCCACTCCTCGGTGCCGTACAACCTTTTTGTGATGTTTTGTACTTTTGTTCTGACGAGTTACATAAAATGTAGGGTTAGTAGTTTATGAGATCAATGCATCGCATAAAACTTTAATTATGCGCTTAATTAGAAAATACCGACAAAATATGCAGACAAAAAATAACGACACTATTTTATACAGCAGATTGTAAACATAAGTCTAACTTCCAAATGGTCAAGTTAACGGTAAACTAAAAATAAGACAAGAATATACAAAAAAATCTACACGAACATACGGTCACATGGACAATACACGACCGATACTAAAACGTAATGTAAGACTAGTTGAAATGCGATATATACTATTAAAATAGAACTTAATATTACATCTTTGATTAAAACTCACTCGGTATACTTTAAAAAAATACTTCGTTAAAATGGTATTCAATTCCGATAAATGCTTGTAAACTAATCGCGGGGAAACAGCACTCACTGGACCAGCCTGTGCCAGGTAAAATTTGCGATTTATATTAAATCCAGGAACTACAAAATTCGGAAAGCACGTGGCTCTACTTAGAAAATCCTACTAATGGAAAGGCAATTTAGACCTTACTTAGCTAGGGAAGGGACGTCACTCCGTCGTTTCACGTTGGAAGAATTGTGCCCCGTCGCCGGGCCAGGCTTGTGTCAGGTGCCCGACTCTTGGTAAGGTCCAGTCACAGTGCACGGGTGCATTGGAAATAAAGTCGTCCACGACATAGTAGTTTGCGTATCGGTTCTTAACATTAACTGACCCTTTTTCCTAGCAACGTTCGTTGCTTCCACCAACGCTGCCAATGAACTATAGCCTCCCGGTATGGTTATCTCATTTTTATTCTTCCATTTTTCTCCATTTGGAGTCTGCCTCTGTTCAGGACCAGGCGTAGATGCCGGAGAAACAGAATTTGATTTTGGGCCTGGAGTACCCGGAGTAGGAGGATTAAGGCCCAATTTTTTCAGTCGCATCTTTTCTTCCCACTCTTCCAGGCCATGCTTCGGGCGATTTAGGTTTCTATGTTGATAAAATACTAAAGAGATCCTTGTCGGATTTACTCGATTTGGAGTTTTCACCGCTGTTGTAGAATGCATTTCATGTTTTGCGCATTCAAATAGTACACTTCCGTGACCCAAAGCTATAGCCACGCCACCCATCTGAGTGTCTTTGAAGCACTCCAAATTGTCGCTGAATTCAGTTACTTCGCCAATAGGTTCTGCTTTCGGTGGTTCTGGAGGATATGGGATAGAAAATGGCGGTGGATACAAACACCAATTAGGAGACGATTGGCACCAATTTGACCCTGGGTTTTGATAAAAACTGGGTGCAAAATTAGGATTGTATTGATAGCCGTAGGAATTGTAGCAATGCGTGTTTCTTATTAATTCTTCACGTTTATATTTTTCAGCATTGTAATACGCTAAGCTATTATAATCGTTGTAAGAATTTTCGTACGGATTAAAAGGTCCATAAGGATTCGGTGAAAATGGATACGCATTTGTCATCTGTGGGTAATTTCCATATCCTTGTATAGAAGTTTGATTTCCGTAACTATTCTGGTTAACTGGCTGAAAGTTGTTACCAGTAAATTCTGGCACGGGCTTATTTTGAAACGGTCCATTTTGGTTTGGGTCTTCATGGCTAATTGTAAAGTTTGTTTGTGGAGTTGAATGTGGTGGTGCAGCTTGGTTTGCCATTCTAGCATCATAAGGACTTCTATGTTCATATCCTTGACTTAAGTGAGGTTTTTCCATCGGAGGATATGGTTTCAAGAAAGTGGAATCTGGCGGATTACCATGTTGGGAACGGGATGGTGGTCTTGATTTTGGAACTCTAAATAAAGCACTTTCGTTTTCTGGAGTTGTAGCATCTTTCGGTTTTAATGGATCCAAGCTTTTCGATTCTGGTGATTTCCATATGCTTTTCCTGACGTCTGGCAAAGCCATGTTATCATTATTTGGTGATTTTAAATCTTGAGCCTGTGATGGCGCCGGAGATTCCGGAGTATTTTGTGGTTTTTGTGAAATTTCCGTTAGTCTTGGAGAACTGGGCATGTCAAAGTCGGGAAGCTTATTGATATCTCCGACAATAAGATTTTGTTTTTCAGTTTCAGTCACATTCTTTTGAGTAGCTGGATCGGAGTTAGTTTCACTTTTACTCGAATCTGGACTATAATTATTAGGCGGAACATTCAGATTAGCTGTGGTTGAGTCTGGATCCTCTTTAACGACATTATTAAAAATTTCTGGATTTCCGAAATCTGGCCATTGGTTTTGTGGAAGATTAGGTATTTGTTCGGTGCTTTGATGGAATTGTTGATCTCTCTTTTGCAGCCCAGCGGCAAAACTCGGCAACTGGTTTGGATTAGGATTTGGATTCTGGCAATTCCCTTCAATCATTGGAGTTACGTGATTGGGATTGTATAGATTATTCTGATGATGTAAGTTGTAGCTTTGGTCATAAGAATTATAGGGAGAATCTAGAACCGTGCTAGATATTTGGTTGCTCTGTAATTGTGCTTCAGTGAAATTGTCTATCATTGTTGCCATGTCTATTAAAGCTGGATTGCTTAAATTTGGGTTCATAAGACCAGAACCTTGGTTATGTATATTAGGATTAATGAATGCGGAATTGTAATGTGGATTGTTACTAAATGCTGACGGGTTAGATTGGTTGAGAGCTGGTGTAAGCGCTCTTGGCGACGCGCTGTTTTGACTTCTAGGACTTGCATTACTTTTAGTTTCGGTTGGTTGTGGAGTTCGCGGAGATGGTGTGGAGCATTGTTGAGGCTTTTTAATATTGTTAGGACTTTGCTGTTGACCGTTGCTATTGGTGGAAGTATTGGCTGAATCGGAGCTTTCTTCATCTTTGCGTTTCTTTCCATGGCGTCTGCATGGTTGCAAAGGAACCGATCGTACTCTGACCTCCATGGAATACCTGAAATTATAATAAATGTCTTGTTAGTAGTCGTTAAAAACCACTAAATTTAGAACGTTAGTTGGCGAGACAAGCATGCTTTAAGAATACAGAGCGTTTAGAATAATATGAGGGTACATCACCACTCACTTGTCCAAGACGTCTAACGCTCCACTCTTGATCTTTTCTTCCTGCCCTTCCTTGGAGCCAAACTCGTCTGTCGTGTCGAGGACGTATAGCGGTAGTACGTGAAGTTGCTCATCGGTGGGTTTGGATAGTGAACGGTGTTTGGCCAACGTGACTACAGCCGTGCAACCATTATTCATATTATGAAGATCGCGATGAGCGTGTGCACAGAAGTCTATGCATGCTGTGACACCTGGAATTATATTAACACTGTTACAGGGACCCCATACTAGGAATACAGGTTCATACATTTTAAGAAAATTATTGTTCTCTTACCAGAAAAAGGTCTTCCAGGCTTGAAACCAAGACGACAGTCTGAAGCTTCTTTTTCAAACTGGCATTGGTTATCAAAAGACTTAGGTGCAAGATTCATATACAACGGGCTTAGCAAAGTAGCCAGTACGTGAAAGCGCTCCTCGATTTCACTCTCCTCAGCTTTGACCGAAAGTCGGAACTTGCGGACAGTTTTCGAACGGGCGTATTTGCATCCATTGTAATACATGGACCAGGAGCAGCCGAAACTGTAGGAGGCGCCACACGTTTCTGGATCAAGTCCTGTAAATTCATAAACAGAAGTTTAGAACACTTATAACTGTCAGCTTCTAAGTATATATGAGGTAGGAACTTAGAGCAACCATTTTGAATGATACCTATACCTACCTTGGCATGCACAAGTTCTATTTTCATTGGTAGCACACCGCCTAGTAGTCGGTAGTCCATATCGATTTAGTTTATGAGACAACAGGGTATAGTCCAAGTCAGCTTCAGACTGTGGTATGCCTTCCCATGCGACTAAACATACTACTATCCAAGATGTTGCACATTTATGGCCGTTTCTGAACTTTACGACCACAAGGACTTTTTCCGTGTAATTTGAACGTCTTATTACCTGTAACGAAGAGTAAAAGTGAGAAGTGTAAAAAAACATAATAATGATTCTGGTTGGTTAGAGATGGTTATAAGTAAATTAGTGAAATATTAAATATTGGGATCCATACACTCACCCATTTAGCCATAGGGCAGCCCTGAGCCGTTTTGCCTTCTTTTCCAGTATAGCAGACCTTTTCTATTCTTAATTCTTTGCCAGCAAGACCAGTGCGAGCTTCCAGTTCTTTTCTTAGCTCTGCTAAAGTTGACGCTGCCCCTGAAAATTACAAATTAGTCTTTGGAATGTTGTACGTCTCTTTATTTTATATTCTTGTCTTTTAAACTAAATTTGCATTATTAACTTGTTATATAAATAAATATGATAAATAATGGATTACTTCAAAGACCAACACTCTGAAGGGTAGTATTCGACTTACCTAAATGAGTATAATAGCTGCCAGGTTCTGGTGGGTTCTTATCGGCAGGAAAGCAGTTGCAATCGGGCACTTCAGTTCTTGAATTATTTCGTAGTCGCTCTAAATTTTCCAAATATTCTTTGGAGTAATTAAAATGATTTTCGGTTGGAAGTCTGGTTAAATTCGGATCTGGGGTTTGAGGTTTCTGATTTTTAGAATCCTTCTCTGTTGAATCTGGGTCATCATCTAGAACTTCATCTTTGGTTTGCAGCCCTGGACATGCCCCGTCTCGCAAATGCTCAGGTGGCGGCTTTTTAGTGGAACCCTGGCGGCAGCAAGCATATCCAACTTCATTTGTAATGGTCACTGGCCCACCTTCTCCTGAGAATAAATACGGCTCGTTCTTCTGTATGCCGTAGTTTATGTTTTTGTATATTTTATGCCCAGGTGGAGAATGTTCAGACTTTATTTGTTCAATATAGTAAGGTGGTTTTGGATCAACGAGTGACACTTGCTCGGGATTTCTTCTATTTTGTGATTCTTTCTTTAAGGCTGGATCTGTAAAGTTCCTGTTGTATCTTTGAAAGACCGTATTTTCTTGCATTCTAGGTATTTGAGCGTAGGTTTCTCGAGTTGGTTCTTGTCTTTGCTCAAAACCGAATTGCTGAAAATTCTGGAAAGCTTGAGGTTTCTGGCTAAAATTCTCCTGTTTTATAGTTGATATCGGTGGCAAAACTGTATTTTGTTGAGATCTAGCCACTACCCCATTCGGGTATTCCCTAAATGAGTTCATAGGCACTTCATTTTGTTTGGTACACTGATGCTGAATGGCTATTCTCTTCGAATCATTTTTCAATGATACGTCATCTTTGGGGTATTGATAAGTCTCAGGCATTTCCAATTTTGGTATCAAAGGTGCTGACGGATGCCTAAATTTTGCATCATAAGCCTCCCGATCGTAATTCCTAGTTTGTGCGCTTGTATCCCGCGCTGGCGCACAATTTTGTTGATTAATTTCCGAGACTGGTCCAATAAGCATTCGCGACTGAAAATCTTTACTGTCTTGAGTATAACTTAAGCTATCGTTTCCATAAACCTCTGCATATTTTTGCGCTTCATATGAAACATTTGAGTAGGCACCATATTGACCTATAACGTCCGCATAAGATGGTAACTTTTGAGGAGTTTTGGATACGTTTTTTGATGCGTGTTTATCATAAATCCCCGGGATATTTGTTCCTCCCTCCCATACGTGATGGCCACCACCTCCGAAATCGCTCGAACTGTAAGCTTGAGCGGTTTGTGCATAATTACCAGCGGCAGAATATATCTGCTCGCCTAAGCGGTAATTATCTCGGAGATGGTGGCTATACGATAAAAAATGACCGGTAGTATTCCTGTCATCATTGACAGAAACTCCGCCTTTTCTGTCATCTATCACTCGAGGCGGTCCTTCGCCCGGATCCCCTTTGTCTGGTGGCGTGTTAGTACCATCTCTCGTATGGTTTTGCTTGTTTAATATCATCGTCTTTAGTCTCGAGTTTAAATTAACCCTGTCGGATTGTGAAAACATCTGTTGTTCAGAATCCTCCTGCCTCTGTTGCTGCATTTGATGATTTTGTTGCATTTGATTTTGGTGGTTTTGTATTTGGTTTTGCAGTTGTTGATTTTGTAACTGCTGCTGCTGTTGGTTTTGCAATTGCTGTTGTTGATTCTGAATTTGTTGTTGCTGATTTTGCATTTGTTGTTGATTTTGAATTTGTTGGCGCTGGTTTTGGATTTGCTGGTTTTGCATCTGTTGTTGTTGATTTTGAATTTGTTGCTGGTTTTCGATCTGCTGATTTTGCATCTGTTGGTTTTGAAGTCTTTGGTTGTGCTGCCACTGGCGTTGCTGCCAATCGTTTTGGTTGACTTGGCTATTATCAGCGTACTGTCCGCTTGAATAGCTGCCCGAATACCCGCTACAATCTAGTGAAGCTCGCGGACCGTTGCTCCCCTGCAGGTATCCAGGCTCGGCGTTTCCCGAATGCTGTCCATTCGGCGTGTTCTGTTCCTGTCTGTCTCCTTCATTGTTTGCGTCTCCTGTGCTGTTTTCTCCATTGTATTCTTCTGAGTTTTCAGTTGTATACTCGTTTCTTTCGTAATTCTGTTGGTTGACGGTGTAGACTGGTGCAGCTGATGTGGGAACGGAATTTTGATAAGACGCAGCAGAAGCCGGTCTGGAGTCGTTTCCTGAGGTTGTTCCTGGAGTGGGTGCTTGTTGTGCGTATTGTTGTTGGTATTCAGTGGTATAATGGGGAGCCCTTGGGCTTGGAACAGGGGTGTAGGCACCGCGGTTAGACGGGGGCCTCTGTGTGGGAACTGACTGTATTCCGGCTTGGTAATAAGTGTTATTGGTGACGTCAAAGGTTGTAGCGACGTTCTGGACGGTGTACGTGGTGTTTGGTTGGTAATGCGGAGATGTGGCGTAGGCTGTATGGTTGCCTTGATAGTCCAGCGTAGTTTGTCCTGTTTGTGTTGGAAGTTGCTGGATGAATTGGTTTTGCCAACCTGTGAAGGAAAAAATCAAGTAAGGTAAATCCACTACCAACATAACTCAACATTAATTAATTAATTTTCTTTATCCATGAAAACCTTACCTTGAGATGGATCGGTCTGCCACGTGGTAGTAAACCGATTTGGGTCGCCGGCGTAGAACGGCATTGGAGCCTGAAACAACAAGAACATAAGTATTATAACCAAGCATAGGTAAGTATTAATAACGTGCATACACGCGCGTTTGTATAACCCACAGTTTCGTGGTACATCCAAATCATATGAGATTGATGTTAAAACATTTTGAGATACAAACACAGACGGAAAACGGGGAAGCGGTAAAATTGATGAGTCACTTTGTACTGGTTTATATGATAACAGAGCAGTCTTTAAATAGCATTAATTCTGCTACAAGCAGGGTGTGTCATTTACACCTTCAAAACACAAAGCACCGATAACAGTGGTGTAAATGATAATGGCACTTCAGGGAGAGTATACCTACTTACTCATTTATTAAATATCCGCAACTTAGGCGTCCCAATATTATTTTGTCAAATCAAAAGGCTTTTGTCTAATATCAAACGAACGTGTGGTACAAATTTACGACGACATAAATACCAATTTATTCTAAGACTATAATCACTTCAAAATAGGTAATTTTAGCACCGTACGTAAATTTTCAACCTTGAAACACCGGTATTATGAAACCTATACAATATATAAGATAATATAGTAACGTTTGTGTACACTAGGTGTGTAATGTCGGTCGAGGTTAGATACAATGAGTTAGGTACGTTAACTAGTCGTATGAGCTACTATAACGTACTACTAGGTAATGATGACTACGATAGAAGGACTCAGATTTGTGCTTTATTTTATTAACAAATAAAATACTTAAAAAAATTAAGGCGCATAGTGAACACTAATAAAATCTCCATTTGTCTATCTACTATTCGTCGAGACCAATCCAACAGGTTACAAACTTGGCGGGTCTACCTTTAATAAAGCTTAATTCCCGTGTCCACTTTCCTGCTCCATCATCAGACTCAAGTCATTATCTATAAATTAACTACTTGTCAAGATTAGTTAAATGAGACCGTATACGATGGCTCTGTGGCCGTAGCATGGTGGTATATCACTTGCAATATGTGATAAACTTCCCCGTGACATATTTATTTCATAAAGATATGCTGATATTTTTTTTATATTGCGAACACTGAATCGTTAAGATACCGCACTTGAGTCATTCGCTTCTATTTATTTGGTAATGAACTATCGTTATATATTATACTATAGTTACCGGATTTTTGAAGTTTCAGTTTCTACGTTTTTTACATTGTATTACTTATTATTTACGTATTTATTATAATATTCAAATGTCTATATAAATGTATATTCAAAATCTTCTCCTCGCCTTTTTCCAATAATTTATATATATATCAATTTGTTGATTTTTATTATTTCTTTTTGTCTCGTTTGTCACGCTCAATTTTTACGTTGATGGTGTAGAACTGTCAAAATGTTTTAAAATCAGCTGTGACCATGTTTGGCACTGCGATATTCTTTTGTAGCTATTGGTTGAGGCGGTCGCGTTGCGACGAAAATGTGACGTCTCGGTCCTCGCCATGTTAGCTATTGTGATAAAATTTTAAAATGGTGGTTTTATCACTCGAATTTGAGAGCTAAATGTGGATATAATAGCTTTATCGCGGCGGCATGCCGTAGCAAGACTACTACCCCCGTAGGGGCTGCTGTAAGTAGTTGAGGAGTTGATTAGTCTGTAGACTATTCTGGTTGCAGTATCAGATGCAGTGCTATCAGATTTTGTGTCGACTCTGTTCTTTTGTATTTTCTTTATTTTAAATAAGTACATTTTATTATGACATATCACTTTTTATTGAATATTGAATTAATTAAACAGAAAGTAAAGGACACGTATGGGGCTTTAACATTTCTTAACTCTTTATGTTAAACAATCATAATGCAAAAGGATGTGTTAAGTCTTTTGTTTTACTTTGAATCTGACTTATCCCACTTGTAAGGTATTTTTGAGGGTCTAATTAAAACATAAAATGTACGTTAGTTCCTTCACCGTAACGTCTTTATGTAAAAGTATGTATGTTAGCCGTTTTTTGGGCCGATGACAAAACCCAATTGTCTCACACAAACAAATTTTATCAATATATATGACAACCATTTTGTAGTCCTCATCAATACTTGAAATTTTCTAGTAGTCAACTTATCCATATAACCATTGACTTACAAATAAATGGACGACGGGTCTAATACAAAAACCACGAAAAAAATGTCCCAAGTCAACCTATTTAAACGTAGTGACATGTAAAGGAATATGAAAAAGCTAAAACGTTGAATTTAAATTGTAATATCATCGCAGTACTGTCTAATTTTGCTTGCTTCGCTGTCAGTCAAACAAACGAAGACTAAAGCGTGAATGACGCTCTATATACGATTTTAACGCCCTATAAGTTCGGACACTTTTTAGCGCGGACCCGACGTCCATATAATTGTAAGTCAATGCATATAATAAATAAAATCAGAGTTACGATTTGTTTTCTGGAAAAAAAAAACTTTAAATCGCTCTCCCGTAAAATTGTCCAAATGCACGTAAGTCCTTTTGCCTTTGTCGACATAACTCCACAACACAATAATACACACTAAGAAAATTTTTAAATAAGATAAAAGTAAATTAAAACAAAAATAAAATATAATAAAAAAATTAAATAAAATGAATTAAAATAAAATTGTAGTATTTGGTAACGAAATGACCACAAATACAGTCGATACTATTGTGTACTAAGTAGATGTCATGTGTGCGGCTGTGGCGTATGTAAAAGGACTCAGCTGTTGTCACCGCCGCACGAGAAAATGCTGATCATGATTTTCAGTGGAGCCTAAAACTGAGTGAGTACCGCACGTGTGTGTCGCGTATAAACTAAAATAAATTACGTATATAATAATAATAATAACGCACACAATCAACATAGCCCCGCACTGGGGAAACCCTGTGTCGCGGGTATCATGGATAGACAACCACAAATTACACCCAAACTCACGAGAGAAATAAATGTAGGCTATACAAATATTTCTCCCGGCTCGGGAATCGAACCTGGGACCTCTGCGTGGCAATCCGGCCATGCCCCGGCCAAGTTCGTATAACAATAATTTTCCTAAATCACTTTCGTACATTTTATATATAAAATATAAATATGTGACATATCTATAATGTAATGTATAATCACAACATCACTACATATTATCACTACCGCGTCTGTCTGTCTGTCTGATCACTATAAACTTAAAAACTACTGAACGTATTTTTCATGCGGTTTCCGCCAATAGATAGTGATTCATGAGGAAGACTTAAGTGTATAATTTATTTAGGTTTTGTGTAAGTTGGCTGAAATATGACGATAAATGTTGAAGATTTCGGTAAACTAACAGAGATATATCAAATAAATGTTCTAGAAAAATATTAAAAGTTGTCAATAAAGTAAATTCATTATGTAGTCTACCAGTATATGATGAGAGCTTAGAAAGGGGCGGCTGATACTGTCTACATGGCCCTGGGGCCTAGGGCGGCCAAGACAGCAAATACGCCACTGTGTTCTCTTATATATAGAATACTTAAATAATTCGTGTGATACATATATACAGTTTATCGCGTTTAACCATCAATTTAGTCTTCACATTAAATGTGTTTTTTTATCAAATAATAATTAGTAGACTACGTCATCGACTCGCCTTTTAAGAGCAGAATATCAACAATCAGAATATCGACACACAAATGAGATGATTTACAATTTGCAGATTTAAGAAATCGAAATTTTAAATTTGAACTTTGTCACTAAAGTCACGTTCTGTATTTTATATTTTATTTTCAAAATTCATCTATATCATTTGTGTAAATTAGTTTGGAAATTACACGAAGTCAAGAAATCTTTGTTCACACGTTGCGCTTCTATTAGAAAAGACGTAATAATAAAATAAAAATGAAAAGCTTGTCTCTTAACAGAAATTTAAGTATTCATAAAAACGCTTTGCGCAGGCGGTATGAATTCGAGATTACAAGTTCGGATGTCGCCTGAACGTTGTTTAAATTTCCTTTATAAACGCTTTTTCAATACTTTTCCTTAAAAACTATTTTGTTGTTTACTGTTTGTATAAATGAACTTTTGGGTTAGGCACATTGAAGTTAATTTTATATGGCGATCGTGTTAATAAATAATGCATGCTCTCGTACCTCTGCCATTTCAGGCATTTACCATCATCACCCCATTTATACATCCCATTGCTGGGCATGGGTGTCGTTTCAGGCGAGGGTTTAGGACATAGTCCGTCACGCTGCACTATGGTAAATTTATTTTAGTTACGGAACAAAAATCTGTAACTTTTTTGTTTTCGATATACCTTTAATTTTTTTTGTACATAGTAGGAATTGTGACGATTGTAAACGAACATACATTTTTATTAAACTACCCGTAATTGAGAGAGAAAAAAATGTGCAAAATCTTAAATCTCTCTCAGCCAACATTTATTAAAAAAATATAAAAACGCCTTGTTACGATAATTTTTTATTCATAAAATGAATTTAACGAGATTATAAATTTTCTTTACATTACATAACAAATTTGAAAAATATCAACTAAATATTTTTGACATGGACGTAAGATATTATTTTTTATAAAAAAAAAGTTTCAAAATTATACGGCACAACGATGAGTATGGGAAAGGACATAATTTGACGCATTTTTATTAAATAAAATTAAAATGGTGAAATTACCGGCACATGGGACTTGTCAACTTATGTCTCAGGGTGACAGGCGCAGTGGCAGTGCCCCTCAGATCTTTGTGATTTAAAGCTCTCAGTGCCACTGATACACTGGTAAATTCCGAAACATGCAGACGTACGTACGTCAAACCATTAGGCTACCAAGGCTTATTATCAAGCATTTGTGCCGTCTAAATTACTTTTTCAACAAATAATATTTATGCTATTTAAAAAGCAATTAAACAATTAATTGACTAATAAGTTATAGGTACTACACAGTGTTCGAAATTTCAAATAATATATAAGTATCGAGTTCTTAGGTTTTCGCGATTGTTACACATAGGAAATGAAACTATTTTGCCTTCACACGGTTGACATCCGTGAC